AAGTTCTAGTATCCTTAAACACTCAAGTATAACTTAGAGGTATCACTGAGAAACTTGCAGTTACTCTAAGAGACAGAAAACACAAAGCAAGGAGATTGACAGCATTCTGAAATACATCATGAATTTAACATGTGGGTTGTTTTGGATTTGGGTTTGGTTTTGGGGTTTGGGGGTGGGGGTTTTGAGGATTCTAGATTTTTATTAGCTCTAGTCACAATAAAATAATGTATTTCTGGTGGGTAGCAGGCACCCAGAGAAATCAAGAAACTGTGATTTCTGAAATGAGGATTTCTTTGCAGAACACTTAGAAACTTTAACTTACAGAATTATGATACTGTTAGAAACTTTTCCTTACAATGGTGTTGTCAGCTTTATGATGCAGTTGTAACCTTAAGTCACCGGTGTATTCTGCAAATATGATGAATTCCTCAGCAGCAACCACAAAAAAAAAAAAAAAGGGGGGGGGGGGAATTAAGGCAGCAAATTCCTTCAAGTAAGCAAAAACATGCTCCAAGACAGGAAAAATATGCACATACTTGAAAATAAACAAATGGGACAGCCTGCGACAGCTTGCAGGGGTATCCCTCTCATCAATTAGTTTTACTTATCCTTCAGTGTTATTGCAATGATATATTTTGCCATCATTTTTTTTCTTTATGCTTCTCTAATAGAGAGCCTTATTCCAATCATTGTATGCTTTTAAAGATAGAGATGATGTAGTTCAATGGCAGGCTTATTTAGATAGGGGAATAGTCCATTAGAATTGCCATAAGGCAAAAGATACAGTATTTCTGTGTGTGTGTAAACAAGCATTATTTTCCTAGTCTTTTTCTACTTGTATAACATAGGGAGACTAAAATACAGTTATAGAAATATTAAGATAAATTATTAAGAGATATATTAACATTGTGGCTGTGCTTTTTAGCTCCAGTGAGTAAACAAACGCTCTTTTCCTGATGGTTCCACATTTATCACGTTTCACAACTTCACAACCATTTTCTTATGGCTTTCTTCACCGGAAGCCTTCTTGTGCTCTGCATTTTATAGGAAAAAAAAACATTTGACTCTACAGAAAGTCACTCTCCTAATTTGCTGTAGCTAAATGCTATCTTAATCTGCTGGAACAGCAGGCAGACTAGCCAGCTCTGTTGTTTTATTTTCATCTGCTTTATAATTCCTACCATGAGACTGTCATATTCTCAGATCTGACCCCAGGGACTCCAATTGCAATATCCTCACATCCTCAGCAATATCTCTCTGTGGCCCCTTGGAATATTCTAACACTACAAATGATATCGCATATCCATGCCTACTAAATGCATTAAAATCAACAGTATTTAGCTTTGCTCCAGTTTTAATAGCAAAATCCTCTTTTCCCAAAGAATGAAGACATCACAGCCTTTCCTTATGCCTAGGACACAAATTAGCAGCTGGAATGCTGGAGTCAGTGTTTCATTCCATGAGAATGAATAGCATCAGACCTCCAGAGATTTCTTTACTGACCTTCAAAACACGAAGTCTAACTTCCAGCAAACTTAACCTAAACATATTTCTCTTGAGATTAGGATCAAAGCACCACCAAAACATTCTACTTAACTATGTGGTGCTTGAATCATTACGTGTTTATTGGAGCAAGGGTAAGTGGTACCAGGGGAGATGAGATACACTTTTCTTGTTGAGTTGTGTAATGCTTAAAGTAGTTCACAAAGGTTACCAAGACCCTTGCCGAGAGATTTGCAAAAACTATCATTCTTTTTCATACCATTGCTGCTTCATTCCCAGATATGGTCTTATATCATCATGGTCAAACCCTGAAGACTTTCTCTGAAGCAAAGTTTTGGCCAACTTGAGCATTTTAATAGAGGACACCCCCAGGCTTTGACTCTGGTCTTGGGGGTGCTCTTTTAATGTTCTCAAGCAACCACTGTCATCTGTAAAACAGGAGTAACAGCACTTTGCTCCCATACCCACATAGGTTTTTAGGAGGATAGTTACATTGCAATTTCTGAAGTTCCGAGGTATTGCAGTAACAGGTCTTGTTAGAGTATCATAGAATATCATAGAATGGTTTGGGTTGGAAGGGACCTTATATATGATCTGCTTCCAGCCCCCCTGCTATGGGCAGGGACACCTCTCATAGAATCATAGAATAGTTAGGGTTGGAAAGGACCTTAAGATCATCTAGTTCCAACCCCCCTGCCATGGGCAGAGAGAACTCACGCTAAACCATATAACCCAAGGCCTCGTCCAACCTGGTCTTGAACACTGCCAGGGGTGGAGCATTCACAACCTCCCTGGGCAACCCATTCCAGTGCCTCACCACCCTAACAGGAAAGAATTTCCTCCTTATATCCAGTCTAAACTGCCCCTGTTTAAGTTTTTAACCCGTTACCCCTTGTCCTTTCACTACAGTCTCTAATGAAGAGTCCCTCCCCAGCATCCCTATAGCCCCCCCCTCTCACTAGACCTTCCTTGAATGGATTGGCTTCCTGGGGAAAAATTTAAATAATGATAAAGAGACCCACCTTTTAAATAAAATTATTGGGCATGCACAGTTTTTGCTAACTTAAACACCTATTGTCATTCATTAGAATGAAAAAGCAGAGATGTATCTCCAGATATCTGAAGCTATTTGTTGGTGAGTATTGTGCAACAAAAAACACTATAAGTGACACAAGTTCTTCATGAGTGTCCTGTTAGGATTTTGCTGTTGCCACTTTTAGGCTGAGATGAAACTATGTTAGGAAGCTGGGGTACTGATTCAGCAGGGAGGAGATCAGAAAGGTGGTTCACTCAGAGTTATCCTTACAGGCAGTGCATAACTCTAATTCCCACAAAGGAGGAATGAACATTCCTCTGAAAAACAGCTTCAAGTCCTATGACCTTGAATATGGAGCCCAGTTAACCACAAACATTCCTTGATTGTCTCCCTAGTCACGAGCTTGTACTGATTCCCTAATACAGACAAAAATGAGCGAAACTGAACCTTTATTTTGGTGACGACTATGTAGTGATTGTGCTCTAAGTGCGCTGCTCTCTGTCTGGTTTCTATGTCATGTTGTGTAATGATTAAGGTGATGGATGTCATTTTCTCATATACATTGATTCATTCATTTCACATTCAAATCTCTGATCTTAAGGAAATGGAAGCATGGATTCAAGCCCTGTTATACTGTTATTCCAAGAATATCACATAAAATACATCTGTAATATTTTAAAGCAAGTGTGTTCCCCACTGATCTGAATTACAGATTATTTGATTTCCTTACTAACCCCTGTCTTGCCTAGCAAAAGGATTTAGGGCAGAAATTCAGTAAATCAACTCAGAAGGTTTTCAATTTACATGAACAAGTTTTCCATAGTTTGTGAGAAATGATCAAGTCATTACTTCGGAAATAAGCATTATAGCTTCTCTCCCTGCCCCTTTTCCACTGTCTTACTACTGTGCCTTCAGAAATAGATTAATAAATACCTGACCTTATGCATTGGTGCCACCAGAGACCTGCAGTAATTGTTCTTTCTCACAGTTCAAACTATCATTTTGGATTACACCTCACAAAGCAGAAACCCACAAAAAGAGAAAGTGCCTTTTTGAAACTGAACCATGGGTATAAGACAGACAGTGAGTGTATAAAAATAAGTACGAGGGAGTAACCCTCAATGGACTAGATGTAAGCTCTGTGTTGGTTAAACACTCTCTCGAATCTTATTCTTCCTCCTCTTCCTTTCTCTCAGGCTTTGCATCTATTTAGGGTAAAATAATTTGCACTGTTATTCAAAGTGCAAAGACTTCAGCTGCCCAGAGTCACTGATACATAAATATTTGAGGAGATCTTCCCTGGCTGCTCTCAAGTCCTTACTCCAAGTAAAATTTATGGTTGCTGGCACCGTCTGCAACTACACTCAACGAGTTTAATTAAGAGTGCAAACCAATGAGTCCAGCAGATGTTTCTGGGTTTCCTTCACTGGGAACTTTCTGGATTCTTCTTCCTTCATTCCCAGGAATCAAGACCCAATTTTAGCAAAGTGCTGATGATCCAATCAGCAACAAGAAAACTGAAATAAGTCTTTATGTCTACAATCCTTAAAACATTCAGCATTACAGATCTATATGTAGCTGAGGTTTGAATGCTTATACAAGCCTCTTTAGCCTGGAAAACTGAATATGGGAAACTTGTACAATTGCCTCTCAATAGATTTGTGGTATTTCCTGCACTTGTCTGCTACAGAAATATAATCTATCTATCTCACAGTATTTTGGTACTGCCAACATGGAACCTAATAATAAAGAAATATATAAGAAAAGGCAATCTTTTCCAATAACAACAAGGGAATCTTTCTTTGAGTTATGATTTGGTTTATTTCTTTTTGTATTTTGCTCTTTTGCTATCCAGGGGTATTTGTGTCACCTTATAATGCCACGAAATGTTAGCAGCACAGCTGGGATTATGCAAAAAGTATCCATATAGCTTGGAGTGTCTTGACTTCCTTCTGCTCAGTCAGGTAGAAGTGGGGGTACTTTGAAAAGGAAGGAATGAGCAGAAAGACAGGAATGGCAAGAGAAAGCCATTCCTGTGCTTGCCATTTCTCTTTGGCCTTTTAACTCTGCAGCTGGTTTAATTTTTGAACTATTGTTTCAATATCCATTCCCTTATTTCTGGATAAACCATGCCTCACAATCCAGTACATAATGTTCATAATGCCAATAGCTGTATGTAGAGAATGTGAAGATCTATCAATCAGTTATCTGACCTGTCAGTGTGAATAAACTGAAGGATTAAGCTGAAGCAACTTTCATGCTCCCCATTATGTAGATAACACATGGTACATGCTGTTGAAAACTACCATTTTATTATGGAACAGCCCAGCACTAGAAACCCACAGCATTGCAAATGACCAAGAAAGGTCTGTCCTAATTTTCACAGGTAAAACAGCATTACATTTCATTTGAGCAAGCAAACAGTCATCCACTGAATTACATGATTTTTCCACCTTTGCAGATCCCGTGGAGAACCCTGCCAGAATGACCAGCAGTCACACAGACTGTCATTACTGCCTGCAGTCTCTTCGTGGAAGGAAGTATGCATTAAGAGAAGAAAACGCTTATTGTGTTTCATGTTATGACAGCCTGTTTGCCAGCCCCTGTGAAGAGTGCAAGCAGCCTATTGAGTGTGATTCCAAGGTAAAGATTCAGCTTTCACTTCTTGTTCTTTACTAAATTATACACAAATTGCTAAATTATACACAAATTGTTTAATGGCACGTTCCATACCCAACCCTCTGTGCAGCCCTCTACTGGTGAAGAGACCTAAGCATAACAGTTGAACATCCATGCACGGCAGGGAGACACAGTGCTATTTTGCCAGAATATGAAAGCTCTGGCACCAAAGATTAGGAAATCTGCACATACATATACCTCAAACACACGGCAAGGCTGTGGTGTATGTATGGACCACAACTACACTCCATACTTTACCTCCAGCAACTCATTGCCTGCAGAGACTGCATGGTACTTGAGGGATGGTAGGGTGCTGGTGTAATTCAGGTTGAACGAAACTTTGGAATTTCTGAGAGAAAATCCATTGACAAAAAGAGTTTTGATTATTGGATAAATTACTTTCATCCTAGTTGTTGAAATGAAGAATGCCAAGCTGAAGAGAAACCATGTTTATAATTTGTATATTATTCCCCTGTCTTTTGGACACTAAGTGTATTTTTATTTTAACTTAATTCCATGCTTACCTTGCTCATCTCACTGCTTAGTGGCAGTGTTTCTGAGCTTGTCTTTCTTTTCACCTCTCCCTTTTTTTAGAATACTAATTCATAATGTGGGCTCCTCTAGGGTCTTTGACAGGGTTTCCAGTAGCCCATACTTCAATTTAAAGCCTGTACACTCGACTTGGAATTTTAAGTCCAGACGAAACCTATCAAAATGCCTTTGTTTTGCCAAATTCAGTGTGTAGTGTTCACCTTCTCCCCTTTCTTCTTTTGAAATAAAAGGTCAGAAAGTTATTAAAATAAGCCTCTCAGGAGGCCTCCACAGCCAGAATACTTTATGGGTTTCAAAGCGTTTGGAGTACAGCTCAGCACTGTAAAAGAATCATCCAGGGAAAATTCTGATTTGGATGAAGACACTTCTCAAACTCTCATGCGCATTTTTCAAAAGCAAACTTGTACACATAACACCAGTCAGTGTCACCTGGAGAACACATGCTCTGGGTTCACTAATTTTGATTAATTAAGTGGCAGATGTCAAAGACTGTTAACAAAAAGTCACATCTTCGGACTGAATGGAAGGAAAAAATGGGAGGAAAAAAAAAAAGCAGGAGTAACAAGAAGGGAGTACAACAGGCCAGAGCCAGATAGAAAAGTGACCCACAGAGATCTACAGCTGGTTGTCCCAACTCTGCCAAGGTGCTAAAGCTTGGCTCTTTTCCTTTACTTCTTACCCAGTCTTTGTCTCGGGCTGCTCTGGGCTGATACCGTACTTTCCACAAGGTTCAAAGTACTAACAAAAACAAATGAACGTGATAAGTACTCAGCACCTTCTGAAATGGAGTATGGTATTTATTTCATTTATTAGCACATTAAAGGGTGGGATCTGACAAAACAGAAAAGTGAGATTGGATTTGTGCCCTTTTGTGCTTGTTATAAAGGATACCTGGAAGGGTCTAATTTATTTTTTAAGGGGTTTGTTTTGTTTTTTTTTACAGGTACACTTTTCCCTCATTTTTTAACCTTGGAAAACTAAAATCTGCTGTTTGCTCTTCTTTTGAATTCTTAGCAGAGGTCTCATACATAACACTGCCAGTTTTTTCATCCCCTAAGCCTGATGAGTCCTAAATAAACATTTCCCCTCCCCCCCACCCCCCCCACCCCCCACCCCACCCCCACCCCCCCCCCCCCCCCCCCCCCCCCGCCAAGTTTTTAGGAGGAGTTACATTAGGTGTAAACAACAGCAATTATTTTTTAATAATCTTCCTAAGAATCATTATGTTCTCAATGGGATTTTAATTGCTTGTTTTCTGCAATAATATGATCTTTCTGCAATGATACCCACCATCAGCTGGAAGAAAAAGTAGTAATGATAAAAAATACATGAGGTTTATTTCAAAGTCTATAGAGAATGCACTCCTTGTCAGGTGCCCTGCGCACATTAAAAGCGTTCATCACTTTCTTTCTCTTAAGGCCCACTGTAAAATACAAAGCTATTCTTCCAATAAAAACGTACTCTCATGTTACATGAGGAAGGACAATTGCCTGTGCCAAAGAAGCTCCTAATGGCCTCTGCAAGAGATCTACAAAATATACAGACACGGTGATGCTAAGGGCTTACATCACTTCTGAGCACACCTCCCGCCCGTTTCTCGTGTCATCTCTTCAAGTCATCATTGCAATGCTCCCCCTTTTCACTTTATTTCTGGGAGGAGTTAAGGGATAAAAACACTGTAAAGAAAAGTCTTTATTAACATGGGCTTATTTTCTCAAAGGATCTGGCCTACAAAGGCCGCCACTGGCATGAGGGGTGCTTCAAGTGTGCCAAATGCAGTCGTTCACTGGTGGAGAAACCATTTGCTGCCAAAGACGAGGTCTTGCTGTGTACTGAATGCTATTCTGATGAGTATTCATCTAAGTGTTTCCACTGCCAGAAGACCATTATGCCTGGTAAGACAACAGGGACCCTTCAGTGAGAAATGGAACTGCGTTTTTAATTATAACCACAGCTTTGAGAATAGCCAAGCTAGAAGGCCCTTGACTTTCAGAACAGCTTTCATGTGATTGCTTCTTTGTGTAGTATCCTCCTGGCAGTGAAGTGAAAGCAGGCAGATACCTCTGGTTTAGTGCTGACAGCATTTATGTATCTTTATAAAGAATATTCAAGATAGACTAAAATGTGTTCATGTTGAGTCCTTGATTCTGTTGCAGATCTTAGGAAGCATATGCTGCTGTTAGCAGAAGTGCCAGATTAGACAAAACGTCTGCGTTACTGTCTGTCACATTGACCAAACCTTGAGCTCACGCTCTTTATATAGTTTCTTTCATTCAGAAATATTTTTTGTTTAAATTGTCAAAACATGACATTCTGTGTTCAAATCACTATTAACATTTTTACTAAAAAGAATACATTTGCATTTACAATCGGTTTACTTCCTTGAAAATTCTCCACTTTCCGCTAAACTGCTTCTTAGCTTTTGACTGTGTCTGTTCAGGATATCCTCTAGGTCTTTCATTGCTACCACAACATTAAAGCTCATATAGCAGAGACACTGCCTGAAAGTGTCCTCTTCAGAGGCATAGAAGAAAAGCCATAGCACTGTATGTGGCAAAATGAAAACAGCTGCTTAGGAAAGTGGGTCCTTAACTTTTGAAAGAGTGAACTACCCTGGTTGCTTGAACCTTTTTGCAGATTATAACTCCAAATACCAGCTGACTACTAGTTTGGGAAAGGCCAAGGACATTAGCAAATTTGGCAGTGACATAGGAACTTTAGTTTTCAGTAGATCTTAATGCAAACAGTACTGTCTGGGCTGTGCAGAATTATTGTCTCAGTATAAATACTAGGTGTCTGATGTTATGGTTCAAACTGTAACATTGATTTGTATTTTTATAGTTTATTTCCTTTCCATTACAGGTAAAAGCTGTACTAGTGGAAATAAATGTTGTAGCAATATAGTTGTATTTAATTTAATAAGCAAATACAGCTTAAATTTGAGATAGTCTAAAAAAAATGTTGCCTAATATGCACACCCCACTAGATGTGATGAAAATAGTACCAGAATATGCTCAGGTTTGCATTTTTACCCTCTGGTGTATATTCATCTTGCAGATTTTGCTCCAGAGTTTAGGAGACTAAATCCTTGCAGCAAGTGCTGATGGCGGGAGTAACAGTGCAAAGAGAGAACTGAAGTGGCATTGGAATGCCAACCAGTTTCTAAATCATTACATTCTTTGCCATCAGCTTGCTAGCTCTGTATTGAAAAGACCCAGTAGGCAAAGACAATGAGGTCAGCCTTCTGATCATTGGGAGGAAGCTGCAAACCTTTCATGTTTAAATGCAACCAGTAGTTTCTCTCTCTGCTAGCCCCACAGTAGAGGAAACAGGTATTAAGGGATAAATGGGTTATATCAGCAATACTTTTCTTCATGTGAAAAGGATGGTAAAGCCCCTGGCACCTCTCTTTACAGTCTGACGCAGCCAGAAGGGGAGGAAGATATGGTGGAGAGTCACTGGAAAAATCTTTCTGAGGTGTATGTGTATATCTTAGATTTACACACCTACATTAAGGTGTACAGAGCACCTGTACACAGAGCTAAGAGCTCTGTCTCTGTCAAACATTTAACTGAGAAGCTTTCTGTCCTTGTACTGTATCAAAAGCATCTAGTTAAACATGATAAACTGTTGATCTGGGGCAAAAATGATGAGATCTAAGTGTACTGAACTCTGTCACAGAAAGCATATTTACTTTTAAAAATTTACAATCTTAAACTGAATGAGATAAATAATGCATTTATAAGTGAAGGAGCCTTAGTTTAAAGAAGACAGAAGGCTTTAAACATCATTAAGAGATGTACTGAACATCCAACAAATTAATCTTTATGAGAGTGCTGTGTACCTGAACATTATTTCTGAGTTGGCTGTCCTAAAAGAAACTCTGAGCAACTGAAGCATGCCACAGAGAAGTAGCCTTAAAAGATTCATATAAGGACAGACTCTAGAAATCACAGTTTAGGCAATTTAGCGCATCTTTTGCCAGGTGATCATACAGCATTGGAAGTGTTCTTGGAATTTCAAGTACATATTCAGAAATGCTATTATGTTGAGGATAAGTGCTCTCTCTGGTAATCCAGTACTGAGATAGAAGATTAAAACCAAGAGTATTCTATCATTTAAAACTTATGTTACAAGGCTATATCTGGGGAGATTGTTCACTTTGGGTATTTACAGGTTCCCGTAAAATGGAATTTAAGGGAAGTTCCTGGCATGAATCCTGTTTTGTTTGCCAGTATTGCCGGCAACCATTGGGAATCAAACCATTCATCACCAAAGACAATGAGAACTACTGTGTGCCCTGTTTTGAGAAGCAATTTGCTCACCATTGCTACTCTTGCAAAAAGGTAATTAAACACATAATAGAAAAATTGTCCTAATGAGGCAGTATTGCTCATGGGGGAAGGGGCTGGATCACGTAAAGTGCCTGGTGTACTAAGAGTAAGAGCAGAGTCTTCCTTTTGACATTGAAAACAAACTGTATCAGCTCCTGCTGCTAATAGTAACTTATTAAGTTAATAGAAACTTAAGCTTCATTATATTTGAAATGAACTTTTTGACCAGAACAAATATTTGGGGGTTATTTTGTTATTGAATATGATTTTTAAGAAAGGTTGACAATGTCACTGAAAGTGATGTAAAAACCTTCTTTCCTGCTATCCTCTGATTTTGCCTCCTTTTCCAGTATTTTTCAGACATATTCATATGCCTAATAAGCCATCTAAACTGAGTAAAACACTTACAGACTTGCCCACTTTTAGATTGAAATCTATCATGCAACAATCAGATAAAATTTCAGTTGTGAAAATACTGGCCAAGAGTCCCACTGCTAAATATACATAATGCTTTCTATTTCTAATATTTCTAATCGAGCTAAATCTAGCTCGATTTCTAATGAGGATTTCTTTTGTTTTCCCAAATGCAAATAAATCAATTAATTCTTCTCTAAATTTCTAATGTTTTAAAATTGCCTCTGGTTGGTGAAAACACTCAAAATATCACGCTATTTTAGTGTGATACTGTTCTCTGGGGACAGAGCTTAAGCCACTTTACATGGCAGAATTTAACTTGTTCTTATTACCTGTATCACTCAGGAAGCAAAAGATTTTTCTTTTTCATGTCATCAAATAACTTAAAATTTCTGTAGTTATTTAACATCTATCTGTAAACCTCTACCTCTAACAAAAGCTTTTAAGAAAATTTTGCAGCCTGTTCATTTCTTCAGTAGTTAAATTTTAGAAAGTACTTTTATATATTCTGTTATCTCTACATCAAGCCTTCTATTTGCACTAAACGATCACATGCAAAATACAGTATTTCTGCTCTATGTTTGTTAGGGGCATTGAGGTTAGCAGCACTTACGCGAAATAATTAGGAACTGCTTCTTAATATTTCTAGCAATTCAGAGTCCCTCTAAACATATTTTACTACGTAAACTTGCATCAATTCTGATAAATAAGAACTGAGCCTGAAGAGATTAAATTGTCAAACTGGAATCTTGAGATTTTGAGATTTTAGTGGAAAAGCAAATAACAGTTAGAAGTAGCCCAATACTGGAATGCTAAGGGAATTGGGAACTATTTGATTTTTCTTTTTTTATTGTCCAACATCACCCAGTATTATCCTTTATTTCCCTGAAATTGTATTCTCCAGGGAAATTTGATTGTGCCACTATTTTTACTTAAGTTTCTCCAACTTTTCTCTTCTTGTTCCAACTGTATTCATTCATTTTCATTTTTTTATTCATTCATTTTCATTCATTCATTCATCCATTCATTCATTGTTAAGCATGTTACTTGACAGTAGAAACACCCTTACAGCTCATCTTTATCTCTACATAAATTTCTCTACACAGTCTCCACAGTCTCCCACAGCTTATGTCAAAGTAGCATTTTATCACACATATGGAAGCCATAGAGCAGTGGAAATTTCCATCTTCAGAAATAACCAGTGGAGAGCTGTGAGTGAGTTGCAGGGAATGAGACGTTTGATGACACTGATAAACACCTTTTTTTTTTCCCTTCTGACAGTGTAGATCTCCTTTATGTCTCACTTCTGCTTCTTTCCTTTTTTAATTCCTACTTAAAATACTCTATCTTGTGAGACAGCAAATGCCAGTTCCAGTTAGAGATCAGCCATAATCTCATCACTGGTTCACTCATCCACTGTCCATCACCACGAACTGCTCTTCTGAGAGCATTCCTGATGTTATGCCTTTATCCACATGCATAACAGAAAATTTCCATGAGAAGATAGCCTGTTTATTACAAACCATGAGGTTATCCTGTGATAGAAATAGAGAATATCAAACCAGTGGCATGTTCATATCAACTGCAGTTAGTCAAATTGATGTTCCAAATGAAAGGCAGTTGATGTGCATTTCCCTCCTCTCTTGTATATGAGAAGAGGGAAAATAGTGGAAGGATTTATGAAAGACTGGAAAATCCTTCACAATTAACACCTTTGTTTCATTGTTTTGTCCTTATTTGTCAATACATTAGGTAATAACTTCTGGGGGAGTGACTTACCATGACCAGCCTTGGCATAAAGAATGCTTTGTATGCGCTGGGTGTAAAACACAGCTGTCTGGACAAAGGTTTATTTCCAAAGATGAGTATCCATACTGTGTAGACTGTTTCAGCAAACTGTATGCTAAGAAGTGTGCTGCTTGCAAGAAACCTATTACAGGTGAGTCTCATTTTTTAGAGGGAACTAGACACTGACAAATCATTAGTCTCCTCTCAAAGCAGACTTTTGCTTTAGAAAACAGCATTAAAAATAGTTCCATCGTAAGGGAAGACTGAAGAAGTTAACTACTAGAGAAACTCACTCTCCATCACATATACTGCATTTTGCTGGGACATGTGGATCATACATGTTCCCTAAATGCTCAGCAGCTCTTTTATGTGGCAAAAGAAGTTCCTCCATTGTTGGATTTAGTCCTTTTGCACTAAAATTCATCCTTAAGAATATAAGAAATGGCATTTTTTTGCCTCTTCCCAGGGCAGTACACAAAAGTCCCTCATGTCTGTAATTTCTTCAGCTTTGTTTTTAAATGCAAATGTGATGAAACTGGACAGAAATTAACTGCCTGCTGGCAAGACTCACCTGTCAAATTAGAAAGCTAGCCAAAGGCAACAAAGCTCTATTGCATGCCTGCTTGTGTACTTAGATGATTTATAATTAGACATATATGTCATTAGTCTGTGACAGCAGTTTTCTGAGAGCATTTGCTGGTGTTCTGCACTGTAATTCTATTATGTGTGGCCTCAAGTGTTGAAGAGTACTGCCCGATTGTTACAGGCGCATGCTGCCTATGTAAGTGGGCAAAGAAAATGATGAATACCCAATCAAATGGACATGATTCTACAAACACACCCAAACCAAACCAAATCAAAACAAACAATAGAACAAAAAAAACTCCAGCCCCCCACATTCTTATATTTCAGATACACATGCTTGGAACTCTGTGATCTGTAATTTCTGAAAGACTCCATCTTGAAGAAATTTAGGTAGAAACAATTAAATTTCACTCAGTGTTGTATAGAAACTACATATATAACACATTGCAGATAATTTTAATGAGAATTTGTTGGGAAGATCAGCAAACCTGGATGGACATTCTGATAAACCTATTCTGTTCAGAGTTCATAATGGGATATGAAAACAAACAAATAACTTGTGGCTTTGCTTAAAATATTCTCACTATTTTATTTTAGATTTTTCTTTTTTAAATTCAGCCAACAAAGGATACTTCAGACTATTGATTTTTGTTCACTTTTCTGCTTGCTATGTGAACGACAACCTGATCACACAACAGAAATCACTGCTGCGTTTCTGAACCATGCACAGAAGATTCACATCTTCTCTCATGATCTCTTTCAGCTCCTGGAAGTGCCAAATTTATCTCCTTTGAAGAGCGCCAGTGGCATGGGGAATGCTTTAACTGTGCGAAATGCTCTGTTTCACTGGTGGGCCAGGGATTCCTCACTCAGCAGGATGATGTCCTTTGCCATGAATGTGGCTCTGCTTCATAGTTCTGTGGAGAGCTGTACAGCTGCATTATTCTTACTTAGTAACAATGTACTTCGTTACTCTGCATTAAGAAAACCATGTAAGAGGTATAACAGTTATTTAGTCATAGAATCATAGAATAGTTAGGGTTGGAAAGGACCTTAAGATCATCTAGTTCCAACCCCCCTGCCATGGGCAGGGACACCTCACACTAAACCATATTACCCAAGGCTCTGTCCAACCTGGCCTTGAACACTGCCAGGGATGGAGCATTCACAGTCTCCCTGGGCAGCCCATTCCAGTGCCTCACCACCTTCACAGTAAAGAATTTCCTCCTTATATCCAATCTAAACTTCCCCTGTTTAAGTTTTAACCCATAACCCTTTGTCCTGTCACTACAGTCCCTAATGAAGAGTCCCTCTCCAGCATCCCTATAGGCCCCCTTCAGATATTGGAAGGCTGCTATGAGGTCTCCATGCAGCCTTCTCTTCTCCAGGCTGAACAGCCCCAACTTTCTCAGCCTGTTTTCACACGGGAGGTGCTCCAGTCCCCTGATCATCCTTGTGGCCCTCCTCTGGACTTGTTCCAACAGTTCCATGTCCTTTTTATGTTGAGGACACCAGAACTGCACACAATACTCCAGGTGAGGTCTCACAAGAGCAAAGGGGCAGGATTGCCTCCTTTGACCTGCTGGTCATGCTGTTTTTGATGCAGCCCAGGATACGGTTGGCTCTCTGGGCTGTGAAAGTAATCATTCAAGTATCTTTCCAATAGCAGTTTAATTCTATCACAGCTCTCAACTGCTTATAAAAAAAAATTAAACAGCCCCAATACTGGTTAAAAAAAAATAACACAGAAAAGATTCGTGCACATTTAAAATCTAACTGCAGTGTGTTTTGCAGTATGTTTTACAGTATGTTTCTCCTTGTAACACACTGCACTCTGCTGTTAGAAGCTCAAAAATTTACATTTCAAGTCCCTTAAACCAAAGAGCATTCTGAAAAGTTTATATGGTATATAACTAAGAATGAGGCATTAGCACTGCTTCACAGGTGCAGACCTTGGTGTAGAAAGCTGGGCATGTGCATTTTTCTTTGGATCGTCACACTGATGAGAAAACCTTGTAAATATCAACTTCCTGCATACTTTAGGAAAAAAAAGCTGCCAACAAAGCAGGCAGAAACTGGGAGGAAAGGGTACTTTTACAAAGAGGGCTTCCAAGAGCCAGGGCCAGATAAAGACAAAAAAGGCTATTTTCCTGTGCTTACTGAGATTGCTCCTCAGAAACACTGTCTTTAGTCATCCAAAGAACTTGACAGACAGGTCTTCTCCCAAAACTGGGTGACTGTACTTAATTTTTCAGGCATAACTGCTTTATAACCTAAAGAAACACATATTTTGAGCTACTGCAAGAGATTAAGGTTGTCTGAGATTGGCTAGTGCTGATGTACACTTTCCCACAGTTAATATGCCTTAAGACTCTGCCTCCATTGTCTTCACTCGACCTTCAAATAATACACACACACAAAATACATATTTTTATTAGTAGACACAAGAGACAATCCATAGTTATCCCTTCAACCATGTACTTCTCCACTCAAAATCCATTTGACAGCAATCAAATTATAGTAAATGGCCTTACCATTTCCACACTGTGAGGTCTTTGAAGCAGAGCGTACCCCTTTTCTTTTAAATATGTGCTTGTCTATAGCAGACTATAATCTCTTCAAAATGGATACTGACTCATTTTGCCATGTGCCACATCCATTTGCCAATATTATGTCACGAGCTGGTAATGTTGTCATTGAAAGCTAGACACTCCTTGCTTGTAGTACAAGGTATTAGTTTCTAGGTAGCTGGCTTTGAGAAGGTTATACCTGTTTGATGAGCTTCAGCACTCAATTGTCTATTATTAAAGGTCATGTAGAGCTGAGTTACAAGCATTTCTCTTCTTCCTTCATCAATGCTGTGTATTGCAGTGGCTTGATTCATGTTACAGTGTCTGTACCAGGCTGATGTGAACTGTGCAGTGATATTAAGAATGGCAGATTTTGCACCGCGCAGCACTTGTTTAGTCCTCATCTCACACATCTCTAAGGCATACATTCTCCTTTAGACTCTGACCTTAAGTACCTAGAGTTATTTGGCTGACTTGAGTGGGCTTTATTCATACTGAATGACAGCCATTGCTTTAGGTAGAAATGTAAAAAAATAAAAAAGTAAAATAATGGCGTGTGTGCATAGCTAAGCCCCAGCTGAACGGCAGTGGCATAAAATCAATGTGGGTAATGACTGACCAACAAGTACATAGCAGTCTGGTTTCCAGTCAATAAAATATTGATCTTTTGTTCTATGTGGTGTTCATTTTTAGGTTTCAGTTTCTTCTTTCATGGCAGCTTTTATTGCAGTCTAGCATTTCATTAGTTTATGCCTTTTCATTTTATCCCTGATGCTTTCTTTTCTATTTTCAGATTTCACATGGCTGATACAGGTTCTTGGTAAGACTGGGATTCCCATAAATAGAAATAGGTTTCATTACCTTAAACAAATATATACACACATATACAGTGGTTCAAAGATACGTATGATGTTCCAAAAATGTGCACTGAGTTATCAGAAATGAACCCATTAGTAAATGTTAATTGTCTTAAATTTTAAATGAAAATGATGAATCACCAGACACAGGCTTGTCTGCGGGGTGCACCTTTTGTTTGTGCTGTGTGAAATAACATTCAGCAAATTGCAAGAACGTGGTTTAGGCCCTTTATTCAGTCCTGTCTGAACAACCTTCCAGCTTAATTACAAAGTGACGCAATTACCAGGCAGTATCCTAAGACATGACGGAGTCACAGGTCAGGCACACTGATCGTGATATTCCCAATCTTCCGGTCTTAACATTTAGGGAGATGAAATTCTTCTCTGACTCATCAACTAATTATATTTTTAGAAATGCCAACTGAATTATTTATTTCTCCTGCAGTAAATACACTAGATTCAAATCTGGAACTGAGAATTTTTACTTCACAGTAATGAGAAGTTATATATGTGATTGCTATAAATAGTTTGAATAAAAGTTATATTAGGTATCTGTTTAACGTTTCTTAGCCTGTATTACCAGCTACCAATGCCAAAACATAAATACAGTATTCTTCTTGTGCTGGGTTGACCCTACCTGGATGCCATTTTATGGTTTTATTTTAAAATATATCTAGTTCTTCCCTGTGCATTATCTGTTCAGCTCTAAGGTAATCACATTGCTTTTGTTATGGTCAAGCTCAATTATCCACAGCTGCAATGGTGTCTCTAATGCCCTGATCACATCTCCACTGTACTCATAGTAATCGCAGGGGACTGGGAGGGAGGCTGCCATTTGGGACTAACTTCTGAGGTGTGAAGTAGATGCCCTATTACCTCCCTCAGTGCTTAAGGCTAAACTTCAAGTCTTTAACACAGAAATAACATGATTAAAATACAAAGAAGAGCCCTGCAGTATTGTTACCAAGTGACACTCCTCTACCTGTATTTCTGAATGTCACATTTTTCACTCTGAGACAGGTTCATATAATGTAAGCAAGTATCAGCCTTTTCCTGGACTACAACTTGTAAGATCCAGGCATTTTTTCAACAGATGTAGCAGGCAGCACAGAGCAGCAATAATGCTGGAAGCTAGGATCACTTCCCTGCATTTCACAGGTGGAGGCACATGCTCCATGACTTATGTCTAGGATAAAACCTCGACATTCTCCATTCTCTCTCCTTGTCCTTGGTTTTCTGGAAAGAAAATCTGTGCATCTAGGCAAGGGAAGAGTTAGGGCATAGTCTGGCCATATCAGTGAAGTGGGTGTCAAATCGCAGTGTAGCTTTTCTGCAGTATCCTAACACAGGAAAGTCCAACTAGTTCTTGCATTCTACCAATGGATATTGTCCCAGGCTTTCATCACGGTAAGAGTGGCTCAGTGCAACAACTGGAGCGTTAGGACGGGAAAGGTAAGGTTTTGCAAGGCCTTCTGGACCTGTGGTTTCAAACACTTTATGGACCCCATCATGAGAAGGGAAGTACCTGTTTATACCCAAGTTGACCAGCAATTTCATCATCTGGTCAAAGCTTTTATGAATTTCATTTATTTTAACATTTCATTTATCTCATTTATATTTAACAGAATGGATGTAGATAGGTACATTGTATTTTAGGAAGAGAATTAAAAACACAGTGACATTTATATGATGACAGATATCAATAGCTGAAGGAAAGTAATATAGAATGAGTGACTAAGTGTAAACTGGGGGATCACTTCTATAAACAAAAAAGCTGAATGGATTCAAAACTATAGCCAGAACAAACTTGTTTACCAATCAAGCAGGAATGCTTCAATAAATCAGCTACATTCTTGTTAATAATATCTCAAAGAAAACGTGCTTCTGTGTATGCTTGTTCACTGTCAAACTGCAAAAACTTAAAGACAGTCACAGGAAACCTGGCAACTTAAACCAAAGTGCAAAACGCCTAGCATGGTTATAGACTACTGTTTCCAAATGTAAGTTTCAGTTCCTCATGTTCCGAAGTACAAGTATTTTGGTACAAAAAGAGGACAGATAAGACCTTTGGAGGACAGATACATTTGGCAGCAGACAGGGATGTAACACAGGGATGCTATCCAATTGGCAGTGCACAGCTGCACTGGAGGATCTAGAGATATATGCTTTGCCCTGAATCATTAATCTTTTTTAGCTTGTTAGTGAGAACATTAATCCAATAGTGTCCATTTATACATTTCTGTAGACTTTCATCTTGTGTTTTTCACTCAAGGGAAAAATATAAGGAGCCAAGTGTTTATTGCGGCTCCTTGAAGATGAGGCCAAACAAGAGCATCTCTACAGCACAGTCACACAGACATGTACAATGTTAGCAAATATGGCCCATAAGAACCTGGATTTGCTCAGTGAAAACTAATTCAATGTCAGAAGAACAACCACTGTACAGCATTATATCCGAGCTAATAAACCTTATCTCTGTCTTGGGTATAATTCAATATCAACTTGTGCCTCTGCTGTATGTTCTTCAGTGTCCTCTCCTGTAAGATACTCAAGACTGTAGGTACTCACCTGATTCACTGCAGATCTTCTTTTAGGGCTGACTGAATTATTAAATTGCTGCATTGAGGAAGTGACACTACCACCACATCTCTCAAAAACAGGAGCCACGAGTCCCTTTCATGCATAGTCTCTGTGGGGCTTTGACAGTGAATCACATTAAGACAAAAAAGAAACACTTGGCTCCTGCTTGTAGCCTAGGCACAGGTATGAAGGTGACCACCAAAATACTCAGAGAAGACCACTTACAGACCAAGGAAAGGAGCATGGCCTTGGGCATATGAGGAACTGAGTCAAGCAGAAAACTGCCTACCAAAATTAACTGAGCAAATCTGGGGTGGGTCAGATACTTCACTACAGTACCTCAGTACTCTCTCAAGTCACTTGTTAGCTCTAGCCCAGCACCTGGTGTTCTAATTCTCTTCGGGTGCATTCCTGTAATTTCCACTTGTAAGCAGGAGAGCAGTTCACTGCAAAAGGACCTCAGTCTGGTACAGTGGCACTACCTTAGGGGCCTCCTGGGTGACTCACTAAATAGAGGATTCATCCAGCTGGAGGTAAAAAAAAAACAAATAGCCTTAGATAGTTGTTCACATTTGTGCCCCAGCGCTCAGCTTAGAGAGCTTTTGTAGCAAAGGCATGCATTCGGTAGCCATACCCACATTGTTCCTGGATGAAGATCCTCATTTGACTATCTCTGTCTTCACCCTAGACTTTGGATTAGCTTTTGCTAGACTAATTACCAAATAAACACAAGCACAGCTTTCCTGGATTTGGGAAAAACAAGCAAAAATAACCCAACAACATAGCCAAATAGTGCAAAATAATGTAAACATTTTATCCAGTTCTGCAGAATTACACTTTTCTTGATCTTGTTTCCCAAAGGAAAACAAAAAAAAAAAAGCAAAAAGGACCAATTAGTTTTTGAGAACAAGCCCTTTACTTATAAAAAAATAAAAACAAAATCAAGCCCTTAGTTAAACATTTTCATTGGAAAGACAGCAATCTGAGTAGAGATTTCTGGCTCTGAAAGCAGATGGCCATAAAAGGCTGCTAATACGAGGAATGGGACTTACCTCAAATAATAAACAAAATGCTAACAAATCATGGTAGCTTAGTGCATACTTCGTAAGCCTGTGACAGAGGACAAAGCTCAGGACACCAGTGTCCTGTTGGGGGCCAGCCTGTTCTCATGAATCCTTGGAGAAATGACAAGTTGAGTGACCCTAATATCACATTCCAGTGTTTCCAAACATTTGGATTTCTTTAACCTTTAACTCTTGAATTTCCTGGCCTTCTCACAATAGCAATCCTATTTCTTCTTAGCTTGATTCTTTTATAATTGCTACAAAATCCTTATTAAATCTGAACTCACTGGAAAGTAAACCCACCCTGGTTGAAGGTGGGGGAGGGGGACGGGAATGGGACATGACACAACAGACAATGTCCTTGGTTACCAAGATCTTTGATTTAAAGCATATTTTCACTTGCCTATAAAACACTGTCGAACTTAAATGCTTTGAGCTGAGCTCTGTGCCAGACTTTCTCAGGCCAATTCCTGCTTTCCACTTCACCTTTTTACTTTTCATCCCCAGAAAATTCCAGCCAAAGCCATCTTAAATTTCACAAAACAAAACACAGAAAGAAAAGATAACGTTTGCCCTAAGCTAAAGAATCCTGAAACTTTTATTTGAGAAGTTCAAGTGCTCCACTTAATTTTGGCTCAGGAACCTACCTGACAATAAAAAGGAAAACTTTCTGTCACAGAGATGCCTCTCACCATCCCCACAAAAATCCACTTATTCTAGTTACATCTCTTCCACATTAAGAAATTACAGGCATATTTCACACAGGGCAAATGTGTGGTCCAGGTACTATGTACTTGGTGACAACCACTTGTAAGCATTTTAGGTTGGGTAAAGGTTTCGGTTCCTGAGCCATAAAATAGAGATAACTCCCTATCTTGGAGGAATCGAGTCAGATAATTGTGAAAACTGATCTACCTAAAACACTGTCATAGCAGACCACTGATGACCAATCTGAGGAGGCCAGACTCTGAGTAAAGATCCTAGTTTTGCCTTCAGAATAGCTTTTAGCATGGAGCTGCATAGTGAGCAGTGCTGAGTCCCAGGAGCAGGATGATGCTCACTGTGAGAGTGAACCACTATTCATGGATGATGGGGAATTAGTGCCCTAAGAAAATAGCCATTTGGGGCTGTTTTGCTTAAAGCCTGTGCTATGCAGGAGAGGTAAGGGTGCCAC